CGAGCGCATGGATGCGACCAGGGTGCCGCCAAGCACCTCGGCGGAGCTCCTGCCACCGCATCGGGTCGAGCAGCTCGTCCGGCAGCGCGGCGGGCGGGGCGCCGATGTCCAGATCCACACGGCGGCGCCGTGCGACAGCGTGTCGCAGCCCAGGCCTGGAGTTGATGTCGAAGTCACCTCCGACGTCAGCCAGCCCGGCGGCGCGGCCCAGGAAGACCTCGGCGCCCGGGTCGCAGGGCACCTCGGCAGCCATAAAGCGCTGCCGCTCCTTCCACCGAGTGGCCTCGAGAACCTCGTCGGGTCGGACCCTCGCCCGGCACGCGGCGTAGCCCTTGAGCGAGCTGTCGGTGACGAACGCCACGTCGGCAGGCACCCGGCACAGGTCCACCTCGCCCAGGAAGATGAGCCCAGCCGCCACGCGCAGCTCGGCCAGCACCCCCGCTGGGAGGCGGACGAAGGGGTCCAGAGGCCCAGAGCCGATGAAGTCGTAGCACTCACCCAGGACGCTGAGGCCCGGCCGCAGCACCGAGAAGTAGTGGACCAGGTGCCCGACGATCCTGCGCAGCTGCCAGCGAGCCAGCCAAGGCACCTGCAGGACACGATGAAGTGCCCCGTGAAGCCGCCAGGCGCGCTTCGCGGTGTGCCGCAGCCGCCCCCGCCGGCCGTCAAGCTGCAGCCCCAGGACGGTGAGCCCCGGCTGCGCCCACTCGAGCTCGTGCCAGCGGAGCCCCCGCTGGTCTGGCTCGGCCGTGAGGGCGGCCAGGCGGGCGTTGATGGCGTCGGCGGAGAGCGAGACCATGTTCCCGTTGTCGACGTAGGGGGCCCTCGCCACGCCGCCGCCGTGCATCGAGGGCGCGCGGGCCTTGTCGAGCACCCACGTGTCCCCCGGCAGGCCGACGGCGTCCATGGCGTCGACCAGCACCTCGTGGCACATCCAGAGCGCCCAGCTCCAGCCCATCGGTAGGGCAGCGAAGCAAGGCCAGATGACCTCGTCCTCCGCGACCAGCACGCGCCGGCCCAGAGCGTCGTCGTAGATCGTCGAGATCCCGAGCTCGCCGGCCGTGACCTCCACGTCGAAGCACATCCAGCAGCCCCAGGAGGGGTCGCTGAACTGGTAGAAGCCGTCCTGCAAGTCGACCGAGCCACCGCACAGCGAGTCGAAGCACCCGTCGAAGTCGGCCAGGTCCTCGGGCGACGCGTCGACCGCGTCGAGGAGGTTGATAGACCCGAGCGCCTCTCCGGACGCCAGGGTCGTGCGAGGCGGCAGCCGATGCAACTGGTTAGCCTGGCGGGCGTCCACGACCAGGCGGATGTCCCCGTTCTTCTTGGCCACGAAGAACGTGCTGACGCAGGCCTTCCTGCGGCGGCGGCCGTCGACCAGCCCCCGCCGCGCCATCCTGGCCAAGAAGTCGACCAGACGCGGCCGGTTGGCCTTCGTGCGAGGGTTGAGGAGCGGATCCCAGTAGGGCTCGACGATCTCCTCGTCCGGGGCGATGTCCGCGGACGGCCGCACCACCTCGGAGTCAAAACTGCCCAGGACCTCGGCCACGTGGGCCGGGGCGACGTCCCGCAGATCGACTGGGACGTCGTTGGTCCTGAAGACATTGAGCTTGCCAGGGTCGCAGTCCTGCCGCGTCGAGCACTCGCCCGCACCACTGTACAGATCTTTGCAGCGGAGGAGCTCCTGAAGGGCTCCAGCGGGATCCAGGTCCGAGGCTTTAGCTCCAAAATCTCGGACACGACGTCGGATCCGCGTGATGGCCGACTCCTGGGCGGCAGTCGGCTCGAACTTGCTGGGCGGCTGCACCCGCAGCGGCCGGCCGGCCTGAGCAGCACTGAGCGCGTTGATGGATGAGATGGCCTCGACAGTTCGCCGATCCCGCTCGTCCGAGCGCGCCGCGCGCTGGGCCAGATACCGAGGCAAAGCGGCACGTTCTCCCCGTCGGGCAGCACGAAAGAGGCGACCACCGTCAGGAAAAGGAAACAGAGGAGCGCGGCGCCCGGAGGAGACCCCCTCGGGGCGCCGCCCATCGCGAGACCAAGGAGCCGCGGCCTCGGCGATGGGCGAGGACAGGCCGGGCGGATCGCCCAGCCCTGGAGGCGCCAGCATGGCGCCGTCAGCCGTCGGCGGTCTTGCCCTTCACCCGCGCCTTCTCTTTCGGATTGGCGGGCTTCTTCGGGCGGCGACCTGGTTCCTCGGCTCCAGCCGAGCTCGACCCCCTCTCGTACTTCTTGGCCTCCTGCTCCTGCTCCTCGCGCCAGAGCCTCTCCTGCTTCAGGATGATCCCGCGGTTCTTCTGCTCCTCGGCGATGAACGAGTCGAACTTCGAGGTCACCACGCCCCCTGCGTCGTCGAGCTCGCTGCTCAACATGAGGTCGAGCCCCTCGAACGTCGGGTGACGCGGGCAGCGCTTCACCGCGCGCTGGATCTGCAGCGCCCTCCGCGCCAGCAGCTCGAAGCTCGCCAGGTTCGTCACATCCATCCGGTCGAAGACCAGGGCGTGGTGGAGCACCTCGAGGATGACCTTCAGCTCGAGCGAGCAGCCACTCAGGCGTGCGACGCCCGACTGCTCCACCCAGTAGCCCCAGTAGGCGGTCAGCGAGAGCCCCGAGGCGTCGACGCCATCCAGGAACTCCTTCAGCGCCCTGGGCCGGCGGAAAAGCCAGCTCGGGTCGTCGACCGGGCGCAGCGCCGCGAGCACCACGCCGAGCGGAGCACGGCTCCCGCGCCCAGGCGCGGGGATCGCCAGGACCCGCGGGTCGCGCCCTGGCCCCCGCTGCTTCTCGGCGCGCCACTCGGCCTGGTCGTCGGCCTGCACATTCTCGACCGTCACCCAGCCCGTCTCGTCGTCGATGAGCGCCAGTCCCACGGCATCCTTCGACACGAAGCGGTCCGGGTTCGAGGCCAGCCCTGGCTCGATCTCCTCGCCGAAGCCGTCGACGGCAGGGTCGGAGATCACCCAGCGCGCGATGACTGCGCCCGGTGGCCCCGCAGGCGCGGCCACACCGAGCACGCGGGCCAGGTTCCTCCCCTCCGTCCTCAGGTGTCCCAGCGCCTCGTCGTCGAGCGGCCCGAACGCGTACACGTTCCCCCGCACGCGCTGAGGGAAGGGGGCGTTCCTCGTCAGCGCGACCACGAGGTGGCTCGCCAGGCGGATGAGGAGGACCTCCCCGTCGGGCGTCGCGCCGATCCACTCTCCAGCAGCATGGCCGGGCACGAGGAGCACCCTGTGGTGCCACCTGAAGTTGTCGTCGTCGTCGAAGTTGATGCAGACTTGGTTCTCGGCGATGTCGAGCGTCCTGGCTTGTGCGGCCATCACGCTCTAATGGCTCGGAAGCGCGGAGGCTGGCTAGCGGCCCGAGCCTCGTCCGCGCTGCAGCGCCCGTCGTCTTGGCCAGCGGTCAAGGCCCCCACGGCCCGCTCCACGAGCCGCCGCAGCGCCGTGAGCCCGGCGCCCACGAGCAGCGCCAGCAGCACGCCCACGACCAGGCCGAGGAAGAACCCGACCTCGAAGCCCCAGCCCTCGGCTGAGGCAGGGCAGGCCTGCGGCGCCTCACGCGCGCAGGCGGGCGAGGGACAGGCGGGGCAGCTCAGCTCCGGCAAGGCCGCCGGCGCAGCACACGTGAGCGCTGGGCAGCCTGGGCAGGCCGGGCACGCAGGGCACGCCCCGCAGCGTGGCTCGCACTTGGCCTCGAGGGCCGGGCAGGGCGGGCACGCCGGGCAAGGCGGAGGCCGCGCCACCCAGGCCGCGCCGAGCTGCCCCAGCCACGGCCCGGCGACGCGGAGGGCCCCCAGCATCCACCGCGGACGCCGGGAGGAGGCTGAACCCCCGAACAGCTTTGAGCCACCACAGCACCACGGATCATATATGATCAAGAGGCTCCGTTACAGGAAAACGAGTCGGACGACAAAACACAGTATCATATTAAACATCATCATCAACATCATCACAATCATAATCAGAATCATCATCATCATCATACACATCATACACATCATACACATCATACACATCATACACATCATTAGCATCATGTGCAAAATCATGCTAATCCGCATCATCAGTATCATCATGATCGTGATCAAGATGATCATCATCATCATCATCAGCAGCAGCATCACCATCAGCATCACCATCATCATTAGCAGCAGCATCATCATCCTCATCAGAATCGTCAACATCAGCATCATCATTATCAGCATCATCAGCAGAACCATCATCAGCAAAAACATGTCCATCAACAACATGATCATAATCGGCATCATCATACACATACACATAATCATCATCATCATCATCATCATCATCATCATCATCATCATCAGCATCATCATCATCATCATCATCATCATCATCATCATAATCATCATCATCATCATCATCATCATCATCATCATCATCATCATCATCATCATCATCATCATCAGTATGAACATCAGCATCATCATAATCATCATCATTAACAACATCTGCATCATCATCATATAACCAGCATAATCGCCATCATCATCATCATTGGCAGCAGCAGCCTCATCATCATCGTCATCATCAGCATCATCAGCAGCACCATCATCATCAGCAGCATCATCATCAGCATCATCAACATCAACATCATCAGCATCATCATCATCATCATCATCATCATCATCATCATCATCATCATCATCATCATTATCAGCATCATCTGCCAACTCTTCGTCTTCCTCCTCCTCCTCCTCATCCTACTCCTACTCCTCCTCCCTCTTCTCCTTACTATCATTAGTGGTACTACTATTACTTAACCATGTTGAACACGATTCGCAATGTCATCCGTATCCGTAGTCGTATTATTAATGTGATTATCGCCCTCTTCTTCTTCCTCCTCCCTCCCACCTCGCCCCTCCTCCCCCACCGCTCCTCCACCTGCTCCTCCTCCCTCTCCTGCAGCAGCGCCACTGGCTCTTACCCTCGCCCCCTCGACATCTGGCAACAGCGGACGTCTCTGTGTCCGCACGCGGCTGCGAACATCAGCGCGGACTTGCCCCGCGCGTCCGTGCAGTTCACGTCAGGCCTGTGCCTTGGGGGGGGGCGCGGCAGTGAGCTCACCAAAGGCAAACAAACATACGAATGTGAGCTAAAGGGAAGCAAACTGTCCCCTCTGAGATCGGGCGTCGCATTTTTTGCACACTGGGCGTGTTCGCCCACATTTCAGGCCCAGGGACAATCACAAACCGATCCGTCTCGAAATGAGGAAGAAACGTGGGGACTAAGGCCCAGGGCTCTGGCCGTGATGTTTGGCGATACTGCAATTTGTATGTAAAGTCGAATCTCAGGGAAGGTAAACGAATATGCGAATGCAAGCTGAAAGCAAACAAAATGCCCTCAAGAGCCCTGTGGGGAATTACCCTGGCAACGTACCCAACCCCTGCTTAATGCGGGGCAGGAGTAGTTTGGGAGATTTGACGAGAAGACGGCGACGTGACATGGACGCATATACTTCTGCGAGCGGCATTCGGAAGATTCGCAGATCCCCAATCAAGGGAAAAACGATGGGTCACTAAGTGAACCCCTGAGTCACTGAGGAAGCCGCAAGGTTCAAAAGGAGACTGTGGGTAAGCGGCTTGAAACCACGGCGGGGCAGCAACAACATGCCATGGCCGCCCGGGGACGGCGAGGTCCCGCACAAGTCTGCGCAGTGCCTCAGTCCGCAGGACCCACCAGCAGCCCTCGAAAGTGGCGACCCCAACAGCAGCCCTCGAAAGTGGCGACAGTGTCACAGATCGCAGCCCCCCATGGACAGCAAGGTCTACCTCAGATCGCCGCGGCGCCTCAGTCTACAGGACCCACCAGCAGCCCTCGAAAGTGGCGACAGTGTCACAGATCGCAGCCCCCCAGGGACAACGAGGTCTAGCTCAGATCCCCCCGGTGCCTCAGTCCGCTGGACCCACCAGCAGCCCTCGAAAATGGCGAAAGTGTCGCAGATCGCAGCCCCCCCAGAGCCGGCGAGGTCTCGCTCAGGTCCCCGCGGTGCCTCACTCCGCTGGACCCATCAGCGGCCCTCGAAAGTGACGGCAGTGTCGCAGATCGCAGCCCCCCAGGGACGGCGAGGTCTCGCTCAGGTCCCCGCGGTGCCTCAGTCCGCTGGACCCACCAGCAGCCCTCGAAAGTGGCGACAGTGTCGCAGATCAGAGTCCCGCCCAGAGCCGTCTCGCTCAGGTCCCCGCGGTGCCTCACTCCGATGGACCCACCAGCAGCCCTCGAACGTGACGGCAGTGTCGCAGATCGCAGCCCCCCAGGGACGGCGAGGTCTCGCTCAGGTCCCCGCGGTGCCTGTCCGCAGGACCCACCAGCAGCCTCGAAAGTGGCGACAGTGTCGCAGATCACAGCCCCCCCCCAGAGCCGGCGAGGTCTCGCTCAGGTCCCCGCGGTGCCTCACTCCTCTGGACCCACCAGCAGCCCTCGAAGTGGCGACAGTGTCGCAGATCGCAGCCCCCCAGGACAGCGAGGTCTACCTCAGATCCCCGCGGTGCCTCAGTCCGCTGGACCCACCAGCAGCCCTCGAAAGTGGCGACAGTGTCGCAGATCGCAGCCCCCCAGGGACAGCGAGGTCTACTCAGATCCCCGCGGTGCCTCAGTCCGCTGGACCCACCAGCAGCCCTCGAAAGTGGCGACAGTGTCGCAGATCACAGCCCCCCCAGCCGGCGAGGTCTCGCTCAGGTCCCCGCGGTGCCTCACTCCGCTGGACCCACCAGCAGCCCTCGAAAGTGGCGACAGTGTCGCAGATCACAGCCCCCCCCCAGAGCCGGCGAGGTCTCGCTCAGGTCCCCGCGGTGCCTCACTCCGCTGGACCCACCAGCAGCCCTCGAACGTGGCGACGGTGTCGCAGATCGCAGTCCCCCAGGGACAGCGAGGTCTACCTCAGCTCCCCGCGGTGCCTCACTCCGCTGGAACCACCAGCAGCCCTCGAAAGTGGCGACGGTGTCGCAGATCGCAGCCCCCCAGGGACGGCGAGGTCTACCTCAGATCCCCGCGGTGCCTCAGTCTGCTGGAACCACCAGCAGCCCTCGGAAGTGGCGACAGTGTCGCAGATCGCAGCCCCCCAGGGACGGCGAGGTCTAATTCTGATCTGCGGTGGGTACCCACTCTGCTGGCCTCCCCAGCAGTCCTCGAAAGTGGCGACAGTTTCGCTGATCGCAGCCTCCCAAGGATGGCCAGGTTCGCGCAAGGCAAGATGAGACAAGACGGAAGCGGGAAACGGGAGGCGGGAGAAGAAGAAGGACGCGACCACAGTGCTCTATTTAAAACGAATGCCCAACCAAGGAGGGTTGGGAAAAAAACATGATGTGGAATGTGTGCCTTCGACGGGCAGGAAACAAATGCCCTCAAGGGGAGCGGGCGGTGGGGGAGGAGGAGGGGCAGGAGGGGGGGGAGACGGGAGAGGTTGGGGAGGAGGGGGACAAGGGGAAAAGTAAAAGGGTGGGGGGGAGGGGACGAGAATGGGAAGGAGTAGGGGGCGGGGAGGGGGAACGGAGGATGGGGAAGGGGAGAGGGTGAGAGGGAGGGAAGGGGAAGCGGAATGGCAAAGGAAATGGAAAGCGGAAAGGAAAGGGGGAAGGACGAAGGAAAAAGGGAGGGAAAAGGGAAAAGGACAAGGGAAAATGAAACAGAAAAAAAAGGAAAAGAGGGGAAATGGAAAAGTGGAAAGGTAAAGGCGAAGGGAAGGAACAGGAAGGCGAAGGGGAAGGCGAAGGGGAAGGCGAAGGGGAAGGAAAAGGAAAAGGAAAAGGAAAGACACCAGAAAAGGAAAGGAAAAAGAGGAAGGAAATGGACAAGGGAAAGGAACATGGGAAAGGGAAAGAGAAATGAAAATGTGAGATGGGAAAGGGCAAACTATAGCGTCATATCGGACGTCGTACCCATCCCTCCCATCCCTTACCATTGCGTAGAACCCGTCTCTGTTCGCTTAGTCGGATGTCGAAGAAGACAACGATCCCCAAAGGGTACGCGATGCATAGAATGGCATGGTCTTGCGCAATCACATACCATGGCATTATAGCGCAAGGAATAGCATCGCATAGCGGTACATGACCTAGCATAGCATGACACGGCACTGCGTAGCCCAGCGGTGCATGTTACAGTTTCGCAGCGCAGCAAGGCATGGAATCGCACAATAGCGGCACATAACGTAGCATTGAATTGCATACCACAGCTGCTTGAACGGTGCAGCCAGACATCATCCTCGAGGACCAACAATTTAGAGATGAGGTCAGTGCTGCAGCAGGAGCACCAAACCATTCGGAAGGACCAAAAACGCGGAAATGAGAACAGTGCTGCAGCGGGAGAACCATTCGGAAGGACCGAAATTGCTGAAATGAAACCAACGCTGCAGCAGACGCACCATTGGGACGGGACGCTCTGACGTAAAAAACACATGAGAAAAAAAAAACAATTGCTGAAATCCTCGATGCGAAAACAATAATTGAGCGGAGAGGGCGGAGCACCTTCCAGACAGAGTCACGGGAGAGTTGAGAGAAGCATTAATAATGTGCAGCTGCGAAACGGAAGGGGAAGCGGCAGGGGAAAGGGAAGGGTAAGGGGGAAGTGGGAGCAGGGAAAGAGAAAGGGGAGCGGGGAAAGGAGAAAGGAGAAAGAAGAAAGGAGAAAGGAGAAGGGCAAAGGGAAGGCGACGATACAGGTGACAGGAGGAAAGAGACAATAGAAATGAGAAGGGAAAGAAAAGCGGAGAGGGGAAAGGGGAAAGGGAAAGGGAAGGGGACGAGGCAGGGAAAGGGAAAGGGCGTAGAGGAGGGGGAGGGGGAGGGGGATGAGGAGGCCCGCACATCGGGGCTGCGCCAGATCGAGTGCATCTCGACGCGAAGTCGGTGCTGTCTCATCGATTACCAGACGCCAATCAAAGCTGGGGTGCGATCTGTCCTCACCAATACCGTCGGCTTGGTTGTGACCCCTGGGGCCCGCAGCCCGCGCACGGGAACAACCACGACGTCGGCGCTGCAAAACTGCGTCGCCGGCGGCGCAGCGAGGGGGGGCCACCGCGCCGAGAATCCTTAGGAATCCTTGGGAATCCTTGTGCTTAGGACCCCCTAGAATCCCTAGAACCCCTTGGAATCCGTGGGAATCCCTAGGAATCCTTAGGAAGGGAATCCCTAGGAATCCTTAGGAAGGGCATCCCTAGGAATCCTTAGGAATCCTTAGGAATCCCAGCGGAGCTCTGACGGAGTAAGTTTGTACAGTTGTCTCTTTTCCGGTCGGCTCGTTCAGAGGCCTCCTAAATGGGGTCCGAGTAGATGGGTCGAAGGATCGCGCCGCATCGCCAATGCATCGCTTGTGTATCTGCGATGCATCGGCGATGCATCGGCGACGTCGGCGTGGGGAGACACGGGCTCCACGTCGAGCGGCATCGTCGATGCATCGGCGATGCGGCGCGATCCTCCGACCTCATCTACTCGGTCCCGCATCTAGGAGGCCTAGATCCTTGCCCTCCAGAGAGAAGAGGAGGGCGTCCCCGGAGCCTGGCCATGAATAGGGGAACGAAAAACTACATAAACATGGCAACTCGGAGGTCCGCGCGGATTTCTTGGATCCGCGCTGGACCCCCCTCCCTGGCGCGCGGAGCGCGCCAAGGGCGGCGCCGGAGGCGCCGCCAATCCGAGAGGTCCGCGCAGACCTCCGAGTTAGCATGCTTATGTCATTGTCCCTTCCCCGGAGAGAGAGAGGGAGGGAGAGAGAGAGAGAGGGCGCCCCCGGAGCCTGGCCATGAAGCCGCCCTCCAAGATCTTTTTCATGCCGGGCAGGTCGCCCCGCACGGAGGCCTGCAGCATGCCCTTGATCTTGAGATACCTGCCCTCTGCGGCGGCCGCGGCCCCTCGGCGCCGTCCGATGCTTCGGCTGAACGTGGGCGTCCGGCTGTGTCAGCCGAACGCCCCCCCTTTGATCTAGCGGCGATTTTCAGCCCCTTCGCTGCAATCGCCTTATAGTTCGGGCATGTCATCCTACAGACGGGTTTGGGAAGAAAAACAAAAAATAATCCAGAAATGTTCAAAAATGGTCAGAAAAGTTGTCGAAAAATCGTCCCCAGACTATGTTTTACTACTTTTGAATTTTCCTCCTGTAGAGGGACACGCCCGACTCAACCCTCGCCCTGTCCCTGGGGCGCGGGAGGACATGCTGGTACTGTGCGCCCCCCCCCTCGCCATCGCCCGGACGTCCTTTCCCCGATTGTTTTGTTCGGCTTCGTGCGTGTATTTGTCCAGAATATGGCCCAAAATGCTCCGCGATGGTCCTCGCCGAAAAAAAAACACATCCGGAAGATGCTGAGCCCTTGGAGGCGCACGCTGGACCCGAACATACAGCACAGGCATCTTGAAGCCCCTCGTTACCAGGGCGGCACGGCCAGAGAGCGCCCGCCACCCAGCACATACGAGGACCATGGGGGGCCGACGCACGTCGCCCCTGGGGGGCCGACGCACACAGAGGTCAAGAACGTTGGAGTGATGCTGCTGAGGCCCCTCCTCCATGGTGCTGGAGGCCTCCGCAGGTTTCCTGGTGATCCCAGAGGCTCTCGAGGCCACGGGGTGGTTTCCATCAGCTCCGCCTCGTCGGGAGCCTTCCGGGAAGCCAGGATATATCCTTCCGAAAGGCCGCCTGGGCCCCGAGGTGTGGCCCGAGGGCCAACGGGGAGAGGACGGCTCTGCCGGCCCTTCAACTGCTTTTGGCGTTCACGAGCCGACCAGCCACGACTGGGGGCGCTGTGCTCCTTTCCACAGGATATCTCTCGAGAGGTAGTTCAAGGGAAGCCGATGAGTCGCCCATCGGGTGAGGAGCGCAGCTTCACGCTGTGGCTGGTCATAGGTCGTCGCCAGGGCACTGCTTCTCACCCGACTCATCATTTCCAAGGATCCATCTGCAAACCTCTTGCTCAGCAATGAGGGGCGCAGCGATTTCCCTAGGACACGAATGACATCATGAGTCAGAATATCTCGCGGCCCTCGGTCCTGGAGTCCGCGCGGAACAACAGAAAGTTCTGAAATCTTAGAACGTATCACGATCATGACTTGTTGCTTCTCTGATTCCCCATACATCCTCGAGCGAACCCCGCCAGGACAGGATGCTCAGTCATCTGACAAGGCCTCATCAACCGATGGCGGTCTCCCAGGATCCAAGGTCAACGTCGTCGACGAGACGGCCGCTCGACGGGCCACGAGACACCTTACGCGGGAGTCCTCAAGCCTCCAGGATGTCCCAGGATACCCGCAGGTCGCCCAAGACGCCTTCCAAGACGCCCCAGATAGCATTGAAGAGCACCTGGTCTACGTTTTGCAACAAGCCTCGCCTTGTCGGCGCACCGCGCAGTGTGTTGAAGCGCCTTCGGCGAGCGGTGGTTGTCCGCGACGGGGGCCGATTGGGGTTGTCGACGGGGACGCCCCACCCCCACCCCAGTCAGTGCTGGGCCACCTCAGATCTCCAGGCGGCTCCAACTCCGAAACTGCCTGCCGTGAACGACTCCAACAGGACAACACGGATGCCTCGCGTCCCGACGGTGCGCGGAACAGAGGGCGCTGGCCCAGTGCGGATGGCGCACTCCGGCACCATCTGCACCGACGAGCTGCCTCCGCGCACGGTGTGATGCGCCCTGCGGGAGAGCACGGCCGCGCGCCCAGGCGAACCCGCGACAGACGCAACCGCTTCGTGGGAACGCAAAAGAAACACCAGATATGCACTAGCACTTTGCCCCAGAACGGCCCAAGAGGCGCCCAAGTCGGCCCAAGAGGGCCCCAAAAGAGCCTTCAGAGGGGCCCAAGAGGTGCAACTCGAACTTACATTTCAAGCCCTCCGCCCCAAGAGGACCCCCGAGACCGCCAGCAGGCGCCCAACAGACCTCGAAGAGGCTCCAAGAGGCCCCCAAGAGGGCCAAAAGATGTCCCGATTGGCCCTTCAAACGGTTCCGAGAGGGAAGAAGGCCTCACCCATGGACTTCGTTTCTCCTCCCTCCAGGGGTCGGCGGAATGGCGTAAGCACTTGAATAAACACCTGATGTGCACAATCACTTTGCCAAAGCAGACTTCTGCCTTCTCCCAGGGATGGTCAATGTGATCTGAAGGCGACACTACGAGGTCCCCGGATGGCCTCGAGGTTGCCCAGAATGGCCCTGGGATCCTCCAAGACTCCAAGTCCCCATAGATCGAACGATCATCCACTCACGCTTGGAGGACAAGGTCGTGTGGGCTCCCAGTCATACACCATCCACATGCAAGACCTAAGGTCGCAAGACGCGGGGTACTTGGGCGCGAATTCGATGGCGACCTGCATGCTGGCCACAGCAGCAGATGAGAAGCAGACCAAAAAGACGGATACGGAGGGCAAGAGAGGACAAGGGGGAGAATAGGGAGGGAGGCGAGAGAGAGAACGAGGATTGGGAGGAGAAACATCAAGGGAGAGAGCGGAGGGAAACTCTACCCTAGATGCGACGCCGAGAATATCTGGGAGATGCATAGAAAATGG